CTACTCCCCCCCCATCCCTACTAATACTCAGCCCTACAACGGACGTTTCCCTAAATGACATTCTGCTGCCACGGACAACTCCCTGCCCAGGACACCTCCCCTACATCACAAGACACCATCCTAGCCCCATGGCATTTCTACTCGGTTTTAAGAAGTTTTCTCCTGTAGATGTATTTCGAATGTGTGCTTCGATTGCCTCATATTTATTCCGTTAAATTTTCAATTACTTGTACACTTCAATCCAGATACTTTCCTTGTAGATAACATGCCTACTGTTTGCTATGGATATGGGTATTGTGAAAAAATTTAATCTTTGTCTATATGTCACTTGTACAAGCTCAAAAAGTATACAATGTAATAGCCTTTTTTTCTTGTTATATTAAAGCTGTTGTCTTGTCACAGACTCAATTGCATCACATCGACAAATCTCTTAGAAAAAGCGTTGTTGTGCTCGGCGATAAACAACAATGTTTTCCAGCTTTTATGCGCAGAAACGCCTCTGATGTTTATACCTATATTCCAATAAATTAATCCAAGTTGATTGTAACGTATCATACCGAAGACCAATACTTTCTTTAAACTTATACTTTTTACAATAACCGATGAAAATCAAATGGTGATCGCCCTATTTAAAGTGTTTGAGCGCTACTCTCTTTAAATCATCCTTTTCTGTTTAACTGCCCTCCCCCCCCCCGATGCATTGCCACCACATAACTATGGTATGTCTATTCGCAGAGTTCCTCCACCACATAGCCACGCAGCAAACCAAGGGCAAGCATAGTTCCAATATGTTTTAAACTTAAATAAGGTAATTAAATAAATCCGCTAGAACATTTGTTCCTTATTGGTTTATTACGCCATGCAGACGTGGGACCCTTCAAAAGACACTCGCTTGCCATCATTGCTGCGGTAACCGAGAGATAAAGCTGTTAATATGTGGATTCACCTGCAGGATCCTGTCTGTTGATGTCCCATGGAAGGTAAGGATCTCTTCTCACATTCACGTGTAAGGGGTATGTAGAGATTATACTTAGTGTGAGAGAGATAACTGATGAAGAGACATCCGTACGTCTTGCTAAATGGAGGGCGATGTAGGGCTGTAACGCCTCGCTTTTGAAAATTCACATTGCGAAAACGAGAGACGTTTTGCCATGTTAGGGGCGGCTTAAAGCGGCAAAGTTCTAAAACTTGTAGCGGCAAGTAAAGGATGGGCTCACCCACATTTTAACGGCAAATGGGACTTGGACTCCCCCAGGAAGGGGCAATGCGTAGAGGTCTAGGTTTTGAGTTCATCTTGACAAATTTAAACCGCATTTGCTTGTAGGGAAACGTCTGTTGTATGGGGGTATCCGTTGTATTGAGGTGTTGGTAGCAGGGAGGTGTCCGTGGCAGGGAGGTGTCCATTGTAGGGAAACGTCTGTTGTATGGGGGTATCCGTTGTATTGAGGTGTTGGTAGCAGGGAGGTGTCCGTGGCAGGGAGGTGTCCATTGTAGGGAAACGTCTGTTGTATGGGGGTATCCGTTGTATTGAGGTGTTGGTAGCAGGGAGGTGTCCGTGGCAGGGAGGTGTCCATTGTAGGGAAACGTCCGTTGTAGGGAGATGTCTGTTGTATGGGGGTATCCGCCGAAAGGAGGTGTCCGTTTTAGGAAGGGTCTATGGTAGGGAGGTGTCAGTTGCATGTAGGAGCTGAATTTTACATTGTCCGGAGGTCACTTTCACAATGTAAGACTTTCACTACAGAAAAGAAACTTAGGAATAAAATAAGGAATGCTATAGGTGTTCTTTAGCGAGGACATCGGTATACGTAGCATTCCGCATATGCCGAATATCAAAATATAGGAAACAGTTTTAGAACGACAGAGCATCAAAAGTTAGAGATGCAACAAACCGTTTCTGCTAGCGATATATCGATTATCATGGCTGAAGACAACCTTCCCAACTCCAATCTTTGGATTCGCTTTCTCCGGATCTGCTCTTACAGTTGGCACAGAAAAAGGAAGTTGTTGAATTTGATCTGGGGACGAAAGACAAGAGATATCATTGCCCGTATAAACTGAGTTTAAACACGGTGTATTGTGCACGGCAAAGGAAACAAGTAGGCACAAATATAAATAGGCCATGAAAAGAACAAATTCACAATTGGGGGATGGGGGAAGGTGAAAGAATGGGGGCTACAGGAAGAACGGGAGATCAAGCTCTTTTAGGAGGTGGGTCGTTGTGATTTTCTTAAGCTTTTACCAGTTTCTTGCCTCGCTTTCGATGGCTTTTCACTAACTACAAATTTGTACGCATTACCAAACGGTATTGCAATATGAGTTGGAAATCTCAAAGTGGTAACATGCAGGTTTTGGTGAAACTGTTTTTCAACTCTGCCTGGTATGTTGGGCAAACATTGACGAAGATTCACTCACACTGGCTTGGAGACGACAATGGGCCTTTCGCTTGTGCTTCCCATGGCAGTTTCACTTGCTTCATCTGCACTTCTTTGTATATCACCTTGATTTTAGAAGATACAAGTTATTGCTTAAACATCTAAACATTAAACAAGAAGCAATTCATGACCCCTCTTACTGACAGTGATCACCTTACAGGAAAAGCAACTTACATTTTCACGAAACTCTTTAAGAAATAACTTGCACTCTAAACAAATAAACAAATATCCAATTTTCACAAAAATAATAAATGAATACCAGTGGGGTAGAATAAATACACTTTTAGGCAGAAAAATACTACTCATTATAAAATTCAAGATTTCGATTTACACCATTCAAGAATATTCATTACGTTAAAAGGATTTATATAGCATACTAAAAGATAAAATGTTTATTTGAATTAAATCAATATGCAACTGTGCTTAAAGAAATAAAGATGAGAGAATGAATGAATGAATGAATGAATGAATGAATGAATGAATGAATGAATGAATGAATGAATGAATGAATGAATGAATGAATGAATGAATGAATGAATGAATGATCATCATAAATAACGAAATAAACAAACGGAGACTATTTACCGCATTTTGATCACCTATACTTGAGCTATGCTTGAATTCTGTGACAGCTGTCCAAGTGATGTTGTTTAGAACTCGTATCTATGATGAATTGGATCGATAAGGCGATATTTTGCATCTAGAGGTACAATCATTTTCAAACCAATTAAATAGTTTAAGATCACGAGATTTTTACGTTTTGTTTAGGCCTGTTCTCTCCAATTGAATAGCTATGCTTGTACATACCGACTGATCGTAGCTGGCGATAACGAGAAACTGACTAGAGGGCGACCAGGTAACTGCTTTGATGCCAAGTGCAAAATCATAAGCACTATATGAAGATATTATCCGGCCATTCATTGCGTATAGCAGCATATTATACTGCAAAGGAAGCAAACAACCAGTTAGGCCTGTGTATTTCAGAAACAGTGTCAAGCCTATGAAAACTTAAGTAAGACAAAGATTTCCCCATAACGTTAAATATGATCTTATCTTACAAAAGCTCATCGAATCTCTTAACTTATTCATCGATTCGAGCTGATGGAGAGAAGACTGCTGGAGTCGCGGAAGCGGGGGACTGGGGGGGGGGACCTTAAGCAACTCAATAATTTCGAAAAAATACACCTTAAAACCATGCAAAAATAACCTTGATGTTGGTTACAAACATATTCAACGCCCTCAAGCTGATTTATGTTCTGCTGTCCTCAAA